CCATAGACAAACGTGAGGAGCCACACGAGCGCTTGAAACGCCGCGTGGTTCTTCGAAAGCAGCGCGTTGCGCAACAGAAGCGCGACGAGGAGCTGGACGCAGAGGTTGACACTGAAGATGAGCTTGCGGCCCGTGGCCGGGTTGAGGCCGCCAAGACGAATCACGACGTCGGACGCCATGGGCCACAAGAGCCGACCGGCAAAGTTGAAGATGCCGTTGTAGCTCACCATGAGCTCGGCGCGGTTGACGTCGGCGGTCGTCGGCGCAGTGGTGTTGGCGCTGAAGACGCGCAAGTCCGTGTCTTTGAGCCGCGAAAGCATGACGAGGCCAAAGACAGAGGCAAAGAGGAACATGCACCAGAGAAACACAAAGTCGGGCGAGAAGAGACACTGCACGAGCGAGAGCTGCTTGACGCGCTGAAAGTAAAACAGCTCGGCGTCGTCCAGGTCGCACTCGCGGTAATACTCGTGCGGGTGCGGCTCGCCCTCGACGATCGGCGTCCGGTTGATATCGTCTTCGGCGACCGGGATGCTTGCAAGGTCCTCAGGCACAAACAGAATCACGTGCCCAGACTCGTTCTGGCGCGGCCGCCGGCTCTTGAGCGAGTTCTCACGGTCGTCGTCGGCGCTCCCCATCGTGGGGCCGTGGGCGAGCAGGTTGACGCGTTCGTGGTTGATGCCGTGCATGTCCTTGCCGTGGGCAATGAAGCCCGACGGTGGGTTGCGCATGACCATTGCGCAAAAGTACAAGACGAGACTCATGAGGAGCCCAAACGCCGGAAACGAGAGGTACAGCGGAACCCTAACCACCGACAAGGGTTAGGGTATATTGCAAAAGGTGTTTTGTGCGTACTGGAGAGTTTGCACGGGGTACGGAAACGCCACAGCCCATAAAACAGGTCCGGCGCCAAAGCCGCAGACCGCAAACCCGGACGCCGTACCGCGCAAGTCGGGAAACCATTTCTACGAAAAAAAGTCGAAAAATCAGAGAAAAGGGTGCAAAATCGCCCACAAACGTACTTGGAGCGTGGCAATCGGGGAGCTGTAGCAGAGACCCATACCCGTACCAGCGACAACACCGTACGAGAGATAGACGCCGACCATGCTTTTCATCGCGATCGCCAGGCCCGTCCCGAGATGGCCCAAGAGGAAGAGCGTCGTGGCGACCGTGATCGCGTAGCGCGGCCCAACGCGCTCAAGCCACGGCCCGAGGATCGCGGCTGAGACGCCAAAGCAGCCGCTCGCCGTGTAGAAGGCGAGAACGGCGCGGCCGGCGTTGGCGTCGCCCGTAATGTATTCGTCAATGTACGTGTTGTAAACCGACCAAGCGTAGAGCGAGCCGAGACAAAACTGCGAGACAAAGGCCGCCAGGAAGATGTGCCAGCGGCTAAAGGCCACGCAGTGCGAGACGTAGTAGGTATCGGGCGTTCGCAGCGCCGGGAGGCAAACGAGGTAGCGCTCAGCGCTCGTTTCGGCGGCCGACTTGGTCGTCGGGTGCACCGTGTAATGGCGTTGAATCACGTTGCAGACGCTGTGGAAGACGGCTGGCATCGGCGCGTCCAATTGAATTCTGTTTGTTTTTTCTTCTGTTGCCGTCGATGCAGTGCATCGTTCGTTCGTCGGCACTCGACAGATGCTACGACCGACGTGATGCGCACCCAAGTGCCACCCGGCTTTCCGCGCTGCCACGTAATGGTCAGGACCCGGTTTTGCGTTCTTTACAAGTTGAAAAACTTGGGACGTCCTCGAGGTGTGGACACGCAAGGCAAGCCGCTTGACCAAGCACAGCCGGGTGATCGATCTTATTTGGTTGATCGAAAAGCGAGCGATGATGCAAACAGGAAGAGCGTGGACGCGTGCAGACGTAGCGTGTCTTTGGCCCGAGCTACTCGCTGCGTTGACAAGATAGTGGGCTTCACAACGATATGACCAATCAGCGCGCGATGGCGTTATGTGTATCTTGTCATCCACAGCGGTCGATGAAGACATCGTCTGGTCTGCGTATTCGATTGGTCGGCGGCGCATCTGGTTGAAGAGAAGAAAGTGTGAGGCTGGGAACGAGCTACTCCGCAAAGCTACTCGTACTTTGCCGTGGCGAAACCAAAACGTCGGAAGCGATCGTAGCGTTCTTGGTTTCTCGAAGT